CCTGCCTCAGCTTCCCAAAGTGCTGGGATTACAGGCGTAAGCCACTGTACCCAGCCCCCCTCACCCAGGACTTTTATAGCCCAGAACAAGGCCCACTTCTTCCAGGAAGCTTTCCTGGACTCCTAACTCGGAGAGACCCCTTAGTCTTCTGTCCTCCTGCCCCGTCTTGCCTGTGCCCTTCATTTCATGTATCACATCATAAACAGCACTGAGAGTCATGCACCAATAGTCCTTCCAGCCCTCTTCGTCTAGTTTATGAGTCCCTCAGAGACCATGTCAGACTTAGTTCTGTTCCCAGAATTAAAGCCTGACATGTGGTAGGTGCCCTGCAAGGCAGAGAAGAGAGCCCAGCCTCGCTGGCTTCAAACACCAGCTGTGCCACTCACTGGCGACGTGCCCTGGGGAAGTCACGTGGCCTCTCTGAGCCTCATCTGCCTCGTTAAGTAAAATGGAGCTATCTCCAGGCTGGAATTCTAGGAGGATTAACTGGGACAGCTGCTATGAAAGTGCTGGCCTTGTAATCCCAGCACTTTGGGAGGCCGAGACGGGCGGATCACGAGGTCAGGAGATCGAGACCATCCTGGCTAACCCGGTGAAACCCCGTCTCTAGTAAAAAAAATACAAAAAAATAGCCGGGCGAGGTGGCGGGTGCCTGTAGTCCCAGCTACTCGGGAGGCTGAGGCAAGAGAATGGCGTAAACCCGGGAGGCGGAGCTTGCAGTGAGCCGAGATCCGGCCACTGCACTCCAGTCTCGGCGACAGAGCAAGACTCCGTCTCAAAAAAAAAAAAAAAAAAAAAAAAAAAAAGAAAGTGCTGGCCTATGGTAGGTGTTCCCAAATGATGTTTGGGTAAAAATTTTTTTTAGAGACGGGGTCTGTCATCCAGGCTAGAGCACAGTGGTGCGATCTCGGCTCACTGCAGCCTCGAACTCCTGCGCAGGCTATCTTCCTGCCTCCGCTTCCGGGGTAGCTAGGACTACTGCACTACTGGTGAATGCCACCACACCAGGCTAACTTTTTTATTTTTATTTTTTTCATTTTTTGTAGAGATGGGTTCTTACTATATTGCCCAGGCTGGCCTTGAACGCCTCAAGCGATCCTCCTGCCTCAGCTTCCCAAAGTGCTGGGATTACAGGTATCAACCACCAGGCCCAGCCCCAAACAATGATTGAAAAGAGGACTGGCCACTTGTGGGCTCGTGAGGAGCCTGTGGGTGAGTGCTCACCTGCCAGGTGCTAAGTCCCTGGAAGAAGAAGAAGAGTGCGAAGCCCCAGACCACGGAGGTGCAGACGATGCAGAGCAGGGGGATGAGCTTGATCCTTTCCCCACTCCGGAGCTGGGAGGGGCCATGAAGGGACAGCAGTCTGAGGGCTCACCCCTGTCCCACCCCACTGTCCCACCCAGCCTTTCCCAGATTCCCTTTCCGCATGGCCTCCCAGGCCTTCAGGACTGCTCCTTGGATTCATACCATTCCACACAACCACAGAGATCAACCTGCCCCCGCCCCGATGTCCACCCCACCCAGCCTCCATGCATCCAGAACCCTGTGTCGGGACAGTGTACTGGCCTGGAGGTGCTCCCTATGCAGGGGGCTCCACTCAGATTGGATGGCAGGATGGTTCCTGGGGAAGCACCTGATCCTGGGAGGCCCACACCCTACCTCCCCTCGGCCCCTTCTGCATGGAAAGGGGCACTTACAACGGCAGCCTAAAATGCCACCCATTTCAAGGGTCCTTGGAAGGGGCTCAGAAAATGGCCTTTGGGCTGCAGTTGGCTCCTAGGGGCCCATGCAAGAGGCTTTAGCCTCTCCCCTCCGCAACCAGCAGTCTCACTGCCCCTCAGTGCTGCCGGGCCCATCTCTCTCCCCAGAAAGCAGAGGATCTGATAGAGTGCCAGTCCCGCTCACCTTCATGATAATGTAGAAGGCGAAGTAAAGAAGCAGGTTGCAGATACCAATGGCCAACAAGTAGGAGGCGAAATCGTTGGGGCGCATGATGAGCCCATAGGCAGCCCTGGCAGGAGGGACGAAGGGTGGTGAAGCAGGAAGGCCACAGGCAAGGAAGCACTCTTCCTGCCCTGCCCCGCCATGTTTTATTATGATGTTGGGCTGCATTCCGAGGCCCACAGAAGATTCTAGAAGCCCAGATGCCAAGAGAGAGAGGAGAGGCCAAGACCTCTCTTCTTAGCCCTCATGTCTTATGCCCAACATTTGGAAGTTGTCCTCAGCCCCTGATGCAGCCAGTGGCTGGCTGAGTCCCCAGCTGTCCACCCAGCCAGGCCGCCACCCCCGACTGTACTCACAGTGACCAGTTGATGACGTTGCCCATGACCAGCAGCACCATGCGGTCCTGGAGGGAAGCAGGACACGGGGACTGAGGGCAGGGCCAGGGAGGGTGGTAGAAGAAGGCCCAGCCAGCTGGTCCCCACTCTCCCCTGGGTCCTCAGCCCAGCCCCACTCCCCCATCAGAGGGAAGAAAGGAGATGTGGAGAATGGGGCAGGAGAGCCGGGCAGGTACCACGTAGAGCGGCCCGCTGCACTGCCGGATGCAGTCTGTGTAGAGCACGTGGAGGATGCGGCGGAAGATCCCCGAGTCTGCACAGAGAAGGGAGTGGCGCTGACAGGCACGGGGCACCCTCCTTTGCCGGACCCCTGGGATGTGCCAGCTGAGGAGCCCAGGCCTGATCTAATTCCTCACCCAGTGACTCCTCCAGGGCCCCCAGGAAGACAGAACCTGAGCGACTCCCGTGCGTCCGGGTTCCTGAGGCCTCCCAGGCCCCTCCCCCAGGCCCTGCCCCAGGTGTGCCCTCACCCAGTTTCCAGCGGCCCATGTAATAGAGCTGCGTGCTGAGGAGCAGGGTGGCAATGATGTGAATGATGGAGAAGACAATCCAGAACGCCGTGTTCCCTTTGCCAAAGACCTGTCGGAAGGCCACCAAGGGCAGTGGTGAGCACGCAGAGGGAAGTGGCTTGGATGGCCCACCCTTCCTGGGGCTCGCTGCTCAGCCAGGCTGGGACTCAGAGAGGGGCCCAGGAAGGCATCTCAGGAGAGGAGCAGGAATCTGTCATGCAGGAGGCGGCGGAGGGTGTGCACCACGTGTGTGAATGCGCGTGCACCTATCCTATCATACAGGCTGAGCAGAGCAGGTCAGGCCCTCACCACGCCCAGCACAGAGAAGAAGATGACGATGGCCAGGCAGGCGTAGGCACTGTAGGCACTGGCGTTGATGTCCGGGTGCCGCTTCTGGTAGAGCTTCAGCATGCAGAGTCCGGCGATCATGTACATGAACGATGTGTCTAGGATGAGGGACACGGAAGGGAGCTGCAGAAATGGCCACCAAGCCCCAGCAGAGAACTCCTGGCCCCAACAATCCCAGAGGAAGAGAGAGCCCAGGGGCCCTGCCATGGCTGTGGAGTGAGCTGGTGGTGGGGTGGCACTTGAACTTTAGTACCTTAGTTGTACCTGCCACACCACACTGCCACCCCACTGGCCGTCGCCCAGAGTCTAACATCTCCTGAAGACAGAGACAACTTGGTCTGTGTCTTAGTCTGTGAGCACCCTGAGATCAGGGACACCCTTTTATTTTTTTGGAGACAGAGTCTCACTCTATTGCCCAGGCTGGCGTGCAAGGGCAGGATCTCGGCTCACTGCAACCTCCGCCTCCTGGGCTCAAGCAATTCTCCTGCCTCAGCCCCCCGAGTAGCTGGGATTACAGGCATGCACTACCACACCCAGCTAATTTTTGCATTTTCAGTAGAGATGGGGTTTCACCATGTTGGCCAAGCTGATCTCAAACTCCTGACCTCAGGCGATCCCCCCGCCTCAGCCTCCCAAAGTGCTAGGATTACAGGTGTGAGCCACTGTGCTCGGCATAGGGCCCCCTTCTTAATTATCCTGTTTTCTTCAGTGTGGCACATGCCTTTACATAGGAATAGCTTGACAGACAAATGAAGGAGCATCTAGGTGCCCATGTTTCATAGGCTAATATGTGTACACACCCGGGCACGCCAGCCTTGGAGTTTCCTACAGGGCTGTCTTAGCAATCCCTGTGGGTGACCTGGGGATGGTGAAGGACTCAGGCAGGTCCCTGCTGCGGGTAGAGCCAGAAAAGAAGGAGGCTCCACTCACCGAACTGGAAATTGGTATAGTTGGGGCACACGTGATAGCAAGCACTGAGCAGCCCCTCCATCATCAGGGCTGTGCCCATGGCGTAGAACAGCCCAAAGTGTTTGGGGATCCCACATTCCTGTTGGGGAGAGAGAGAAGGGAAGGGAGGGAGGAAGTGAGGCAGGAAGAGAAGAAGGGACCCAAAAGAGGGACCCTAAGAGGAGTGGAAGAGGAAAAGGGGTGGGGTGTGTGTCGAGTGTGGGTGTGCTGGGGGGCGCTGGCCTGGAAAGGCTGGGCAAGGGAGGGCAGGGCAGGGTAGGGCAGGCTGGGATGGATAGGGTGGGCCAGACAGGGCTGGGGAGGGGAGAGCTGGGGAAGGCAGGGCCAGGCCTGCCAGAAAAGGCATCCTGGAGCCAAGGCTTGGGGTCTGTGCAGGAGCTGAGGCTGCGGCAGGCAGGCAGGTGCTCCCTCACCAGGGCATAGAGGTCGTTGCGCAGCAGGGCCCGGTTGTGGTTGATCTCCCGCTGCAGGATGATGAGCAGGAAAAGCAGCCCCAGCAGGATGTACCCCAGGTTGCTGAGGATGTTGTTGAAGGCGCTAGAAGGGGCGACACAAGGTGGACTGTTTGGGCCTCACACCCAGGCCTCTTCCTTAGCCCGGGCGGGCGTTGCAAAGCCCCAGCCCTTGCCCCATTTCACCCTTGGCCTGGACAAGGGGCCTCCCAGCATAACCCCCACCTGAGGTTGCCCAGCGGGTGGGCGCAGAGGAAGTTGTAGTAGCAGATGTCCTGATTCCCTGTGACATTCACCACCTGTAGCAGGAGCAGGGACAGGGAGTGGGTCTGTCGTCACGCCCAACTCAGCCCACACCCCGCCACCTGGGCCCCTTTGGCAAAAAAGAGCAAGTGCCACCACAGCTAGCAGGTGGGAACACACAGCACCCCAGGCATGTGCTTCTTCTGAGAACACGGATGCCAAGCAGCACAGTCACTGCCCCCTCAGTAGGTGTGGCTGAAAACCCTGAGGCATGACTGTGATGGAAGCTCTTGCCCCATGGGACAGAGACAAGGGAAGGGAAACTGATGCTTACAAAGTCCCAGGACTTTGGTTTCATAATCTGCACAACAAACCAGGGAGGGGCTGTCCCCATTTTGCAGATGAAGAAACTGACACTCAGGGTTGGGGGGTTATGTGATTTGCCCTGGGTCACTCAGCTGGGAAGGCAGAGCTGGGATCTGAACCCAGGTCCTGCGATGGAAGACCAGGGCCCCAGGCTGGGAGGCTCTGAACTTTGGGGCAGTGTCCCAGGCTGTGGGAAAGGTGAACCTGCCCTGCCCTCTCACCGTCTGGTAGGTGATCACCAGCTGCACCACAGGAAGGGCATAGAAGACAGCAATGGTGGCGATGTTCCTGCGGAGTGGGAGGGTGGCAGTGAGGCAGGCGGCACCCAAGGCCGCCACACACCCACCAACAGCAGAGCCCCAGCCGCTCGGCCCGCTCACCAGAAGTAGATCTGGTACTTTTTCCGCAGAACACGCTTGTCCTTCCGTGCCAGGTCGGCCACATAGAGGTATTGCTGGGGAGAAGCTGGAATCAGCCCCACTTACTGCCACTGGGGAGAAGCCCCTCCCCCAGGTTAGAGGTGGACAAGAGGGGCCTCCCTCAGACAGGGCCAAATGCAAGTGGGCAGGGTTCAAGGCCATCCCACTGCTGTGGCCACTTAGACCCAGGGTTTGGTCAATCATGCCGGAAGGGGTTGGGGCTCAAGTTAGTTTCCCTGGCATCTGTCCTGCCCCAGCTGAGCCCCTTCCTTCTGCTTCCGTAAATGCCATGTCAGTAGGAACATGCTGGGGCAGGAACACAGAATGTCCCTTTCTTGGGAAACGCCTGACCAGGCCAGGCCCATGGGTCAGACCTTGGTGCGAATGACATTCTTATCGGAATCGATGTCGGTCAATGTGTCATAGTCATCCTCCTCCACAGAGCTCATGGAGTCCACTCGGGGCCGAGTACCCACAGGTTCAAAGGAGCGGCCTGGAAAGGGCAGGGAGGGAGGGGTTGCACCGGTGGGCACAAAACCCACAGTGGCCCTCGCCCATCTGAGGCAATTATAACAATTATTAGGCAGTAGGGAAGAGGCAAATTGTGGGCTGGGGCTCAGAGCTGGGGTGGAGGTGGGCTCAGGAGCTGGGAGGAGCCATCAGGTGCTCCTAAGTCCTGGGGGAGGATGGTAGACTCTAGAAGAGGCCCATACAGGAGCCACTCTAGCTTTGCTCTGTTCCTGGCACCCCTCATGGGCTAGGGCTTCCCAGGCCAGGACACTGAGGAGACCCCAGGCAGCAGACACAAACAACAGGATTGAACTCGGCAAGTCATGCTGATTAAATGGCGCCCAGCCCTGTGGGTTCTGAGAAGACACTGGCTTGGCTGCCACTGGATTAAAGACTCAGTGGGCCTGGGGTGCAGAAAGAGCATCTCTCCTTTATTCAGAGGCCAGAATGTGACCCCCGAGCCTGTGAGCCCTTCCCTAGCAGGCCAGGGAGTGAGGGCGCTGGCAACATAGACGATAAACTAGAACATCCAGCGTGGGGGGAGCAGAGGCACCAGCTCCCCAGCCAAAGGAGTCTGTGTCGTGCTGCTGTCTCAGAAGACACAAGAGCGGGCAATTACTGGAATTACATGGGAAAGCCATGCACATAGAATCTTTCTGGCCCCAGAGCCGGCAGTCAACCGGAGCCGGCAGGCACTGATTGGCAAAACGGCCCTACCCCCTCCCCACGTCTACCCATGGCAATGCACAGCTGCCGCATCTGGCCAGAGGGGAGGCGCCGCTTGAACTGGTCGTGCCCTTCAAAGGAAAGGGAAAGTTACCAGGGAACTGGGGCCAAAGAGGAGGGGATGAGGGAAGAGAGGGGTTAGAAAAACAGCAGGCCTTTCCTGGGTTCCAGCATCTGGCAGAAGAGGCAACCGCCCACCGTGACATTTTACCTAGCCAACACCAGCCTGCACCACACAGCCCCTCCCAGCCTGGCCCACTCACCCTGGTAACCATAAGAGAGGTCCCCAGCGCCAGCGCTGTCAACCAGACCATCCGTAGATCCGGAAACATTCTCTGCGAGGAAGGATCAATGGTGAGGCAGGAAGGAGAGGCCGCAGGGAAAGGGGCTCTGAGCACCTGCAGAGGGTGTGGGGGCCGGAGGAGGTGGCTCCCACTCTACTGCCTCAGAGGTGGTGGCCTAAGGAGACCAGGTTGTGTCCCCGGCAAGCACGGCGCTGGCTTTGACACGTACCAAAGGAGCCATAGCTGTAACCCTCATAAGGGGAACTGCCAGGAAAAGAATCAGCCAGGACTCGAGGGTGACCTGCAATGAGAAGTCAAGGTTCGTTAGCGCTGGATGGAGAGAGAGGGCTAGAGCCAGGAAGAAGAACAAAGAAAGATCCAGAGAAGACAGCCACAAGGAGGCCATGCCAGCAGCCGAGAAGCAGCACCTATCCAGGCAAGCACGCCCCACGGCTGCCACCACCACCCGCCCCAGCCCCCTGCCTGCCTCTCCCATGGAAACAGCACCACCCTTTGTCGTCCCTAAAGAGAGAGAAAGTTCAAGAATGGGCACATCTACGTTACCAGCAACAAAGACAACATCTGGCCCGCCCACGTGCCCTCCAGACAGCCCTGTGCTCCACCCTCCCTCCCCGACTCTGGACTCCAGCTCCTCTGCCCACAGCACTTGGAGCTTACCAAGGAGAGAAGCTAAGAGAGAAGGTCCCACGCAGGAGGGAGGACAGAAAGAGAGGCGGGGTGGAAGAGAGAGAGAAGGCAAGGTTAATAATCCCAGAGACAGTGGGCCGCACTGCCCAAGGCAGGCAGACACCATGGCTAGACATGGAATAAACCAAGCAACGGCCTCAGCCTCTGAGGTCTGCATGTTAGGGATGCATGGACATCATATCCCAGCCTCATTCCCATCTGTGGAATGTTACCCCAATCGGAACATCCGGAAGCCCCCAGCCCTTCCTCCTTCAACCCCTTAGGGAACCATCCACCACCACCCCCCAAAACACAAAGCACATTGTGCCCGCCCCACCCAGGCCCCCTGGAGGTACCGCTTTCTGGGCAGGCTCGGTCAATGGCCACCAGCAGGGTCTTCTTCTTCTGCCTGCATGGACAGAATCCAAAGGCCACCCAGATGGGACAGGACAAGGATCCCTCTGTATGGGGCTGGCTTTCCTTCTACCTCTCCACTCCACTCTCATCCCTATGACCCTGTCCTCCACCCTTGGTCCCAGGGTTCCTCACAGGCTGGGGAGCAATATGGGGTCTCCCTGCTTGGGAAGAAGGCTGAGGGGAGGGGATGGTTTCTAGAGAGGGTCACGGGCCACAGACTCTAACAGTCCCACCATCATCTGCTATGGATGGTGTCAATTACCCTAGGCTGGCTCAGATCCTGCCAGGCGATCTCCCTCACACACCTGCCCAACTCACCCAGACCAGGGGAGGGCCCAGCAGTTCCCCTTTACCTCCAGTTCTCCCAGCAGGCCAGGAGGACGGTCAGCAGGTAAAAGGAGAGAAATATACCCAGGCAAAAGAGCATCCCACTGACGTAGGCCTCAGCTTCCAGGAGGAAACAGGAAAGTGGACGGGTCAAAACCTTCCACCACCTCCCATCATGGCACCCAAAGGCCTTCATGTCCTCCTCCGCCCAGCCCAATCTCTCACCCCTCTCCCCTCGAATGTAAGGCCCTGCCCAGCCAGTATGAACAACTAGCAGTTCCCCTAATACACCGAACTCTGACACACTCCTATTTTTGCTCATGTTGCTCCCTGTGCTAGAACTTTCTCTTCTACTTCTCCTTTTTTAAGAGTTGGGGTCTTACTCTGTTACCCATGCTGGAGTGCAGTGGCATGATCATAGCTCACTGCAGCTTCCAACTCCTAGGCTCCATCCTTCCACCTCAGCCTCCTCAGTAGCTGGGACTATAAATGTGTGCCACCACACCTGGCTCATTTTTTAATTTTTTATAGAGATGGGATCTTGCTATGTTACTCAGGCTGGTCTTGAATTCCTGGCTTCAAGCAATTTCCCTGCCTCAGCCTCCCAAAGTGCTGGGATTATAGGCTTCAGCCACTGTGCCTGGCCTCTCAAAAACTCCACCTTGACTTAACCCTCAAACCACAGCTCAGGGACTGTGTCCTCTAGGAAGCCTTCTCTATCCTGTATTTCCACAGTGACCTGTCCTTTGCTCACCACAGCTCTTAACTGCCTCCTGTTCCTCTAGAAAGGACCCCGCCCCCCGCCGTGGACTGCTCCCTTAGCATACCACCTGGCATATAGGAGATGCTCAATAAATATTTGCTGAATAAATAATCCATATAAGAGAGGCACCCTTGGCCGGGCGCAGTGGCTCAAGCCTGTAATCCCAGCACTTTGGGAGGCCGAGACGGGCGGATCACGAGGTCAGGAGATCGAGACCATCCTGGCTAACATGGTGAAACCCCGTCTCTACTAAAAAAAATACAAAAAAACTAGCCGGGCGAGGTGGCGGGCGCCTGCAGTCCCAGCTACTTGGGAGGCTGAGGCAGGAGAATGGCGTAAACCTGGGAGGTGGAGCTTGCAGTGAGCTGAGATCCGGCCACTGCACTCCAGCCTGGGCAACAGAGCAAGACTCCGTCTCAAAAAAAAAAAAAAGAGAGGCACCCTCAGGCTGGGCACAGTGGCTCATGCCTGTAATCCCCGCACTTTGGGAGGCCAAGGCGGGTGGATCACCTGAGGTCAAGAGTTCAAGACCAGCCTGGCCAACATGGTGAAACCCTGTCTCTACTAAAAATACAAAAATTAGCTGGGCATGGTGGCAGGTGCCTGTAGTCCCAGCAACTCAGGAGGCTGAGGCAGGAGAATCACTTGAACTCAGAAGGTGGAGGTTGCAGTGAGTCAAGATCTTGCCACTGAACTCCAGCCTGGGTGACAGAGCAAGAGTCCAAAAAAAGAAAGAGAGGCACCTTCTTTCCCCTCCTATTACAGTCCCTTAGGGCCCCATGTAATCATTCAGTAAATATTTATTAAGCACTGAGTAGGGGCCTGGTGCTTTCCTGCTAATTTTGTCTGCTAATTTTGTGCTGGCCCTCATAATTAGTGAGATTCATTGGGCAAATTTTACTCCCTTTGTCATAGAGACAGGGAAACTGAGATTCAATCTTATAGCAGTGACAAATTAGGATATGTTTCTGAATATGAGATTAAGAAACATCCTTCAGAATAAATAAGATTATGCTAAGAAAGCAAAATTAAAGCTCTTTCTTACAATCAGGTAACTGCTGATAAGTGGCAGGAAGTGAACTGGACCTCAGTTCCTCCATCTTTAGTCATGAAGTCTCTGTCCCACATCACAGTGGAACTCACTTCCGGGCTCTCCCCATCTAGAAGCCTGCGAAGAACACTCCCCGTCCCTAACCCACCAGCATATCTGCATCCTCATCACCCACTTCAGGGCACACCCTATATCCCAGGTCTGAAAGGAGGAGCCAGAGAGGCTTGTCCATCCCCACTCAGCCACCCGCACTCACATGTGACTGCTTGAGACACCAGCACTGACAGGGTTTTCTGGCGGTGCCCTTGATCGACCGGTTCATCTGGAAGTAAAATGTCAAAGCAGCAAATTGGTTGCCTGGAGCTTGGCTAGAGTCAGTGGGACCAGGCCTTTGAGAGACTGGAGCCAAAAACCCATGTCCTATCAGGTCCACCAATCAGCCACACAGGCTCTTCTGGCTCCCAGAAAGTGACCAAGCCCTCCCCACCCCTAGCCAGGCCCAGGGCACAAAATGTACCTTCTACGAAGGGGTAGAAAGGCAGGGAGCCCCCGCACGCTTGGTCTTCGGTCTTCACCACCACCACCACATAAAAGCTGTTGCTGGGGAAGTCTTTGCGCTGCAGGACGATGATGATAAATATCATCATCACCATCATCATCACCATCATTCTTTTCGGAATACTTACTCTGGGGCCAGACGTTATGCTAAACTCTTCATAGGTATTATTTTACTTAATCCTCACAAAGATTCTTTTTTTTTTTGGAGATGGAGTTTTGCTCCTGTTGCCCAGGCTGGAGTGCAGTGGTGTGATCTCAGCTCACTGCAACCTCCGCTTCCTGGGTTCAAGCGATTCTCCTGCCTCAGCTCCCAAGTAGCTGGGATTACAGGTGCCCACCACCACGCCCGGCTAATTTTTGTTATTTTTAGTAGAGATGGGGTTTTACCACGTTGGCCAGGCTGGTCTTCAACGCCTGATCTCAGGTGATCTGCCCATCTCAGCAGGTGTAAGACACTGCACCTGACCTTTTTTTTCTCTTGAGACAGGGTTTCACTTTTTTTGCCCAGGCTGGAGTGCAGTGATGCGATCTCGGCTCACTCCAGCAATCTCCGTTTCCCAGGTCCAAGTGATTCTCCTGACTCAGCCTCCCGAGTAGCTGGGATTACAGGCATGTACCACCATGCCCGGCTAATTTTTGTATTTTTAGTAGAGATGGGGTTTCAGCCTGTTAGCCCAGCTGGTCTTGAACTCCTGATCTCAGGTGATCCGCCCACCTCGGCCTCCCAAAGTGCTGGGATTACAGGAATGAGCCACCGCGCTCAGCCCTATTATTATTACAATGAATGAAGTAGGTATGACAGCCAAAAGGGGGTTCTCTACTCTTTCCCATCCGCAAGAGCAACTGGGATTATGGTTCAACTCTCATATATATCAGGGGACTCAAAGTCACAGGGACCGGAAGGCCAAAGACTCAGTCTTGTGTAGCATAGGAGTGGGCAGAGGAAGAAGAGCTCAAGTTTGGAAAGTTACACAGCTTATCGCCCAGCCACACTTCCCACGTGGCCACATGCATTTCCTACCTGTACTGTGATGGCCGCCTTCTTAGTCATCGTCTGGTACATTCCGATGAAGGCTACGTTGTTGTCCAGGTCATAGACAGGACACTGCAGAGGGGCGGGAGAGGCAGATGGATGGGAACCTGGTCTGCCCCTCTCTTTAGCAGCCCTGCTGCCTGCTAGGGAAGAGCAAAAGGGCAGGCAACTCACCAGCACATCCTGGATGGAGATGACTGAGCAGGGGAAGGCCTTGTTGGAGGTCACCTTGACAATTACCGAGTCCACGCCTTCAGGGAACTCATACTTGAAGTACTGAGGGTGCAGGAAGGAGGGGGGAGCCCCATCTCATGAGGATGCTCTCTTGGCCCCTCTAGAAGGGAACTGTCCCCTATAAGCGGGGACCCAGAATCCTCTGAGGGACGGGCAGCAGGCTCTCTGGGGAGACAGGCCTTGACTATAGCAGCCCCTTTCTCTGTATACCACTCCCTTCAACCTCAGCAGGGCACTCAGTGGAATGCCGGAGAGGCAACCAGACTCCACGTCTCTGCACAGTCCCATGCTGTCTGTCCCCTCACCATGTCAGGGCCAGAGCTCCTGTTTCCAGAGAGCCCTCCATGGAGAAAACAGCCAATTCAAAAGTCCAAGCAAAGACTGCTGACCACTCCCATTCTCATATTCAAGCTCCCCCATTTCTCCTCTGGAGCAATCAACAGGGAGATGATACCTGGGGCTGTGCTGCTGTAGTATTGAAGCTGAACTGCTCCCCGGTCCTGCAGGGCAGAGAAGATCCCCCAATAGTCACTCCCAGAGCCTGCGGAAGAACTAGCCCCCGTGGTCCCTTTGCTCTACCCTGCAGACCTGAGCACAAAATCGTCCATGCGGCTGACCCGGAGCTGGTACGTGGTGTTGACTGGTGACAGGGTGGACACATCCACGTAGAAGAACTGAATCTCTGACTCATTCTTGGTGGGGGGCTGACACAGGGTTCGTTCCACTTTTTGGTAGAGGTACTTGCGCTGAAACCTATGGCCCGAAGCAGAGAGATAGGATGTGAGCACTGTCCCAGCTGGCCTGCCCCTCCAGAGGAGCGAGGCCCCACCTCCCCTGGTCTGGTCTCCACCACCTCACTGCGAGGTGCACAAGCTCCCAGCTGGCACACTCGGCCCTTGTGCTGTTGATGAGCCTCCCGGCCCAGGGAAAGGGGAGGAAAAATGGGGGGCTCCTGGTTGAGACTCCAGGCAAGGACTGGCTGAGGCCACCCCACTTCCCTGATGCCCAGATCCTACTCACATCCCTCGCAGGATTAGGGGCACCTGGAAGGACACCACAGCCTCCTTCTGGCGGACCACAAACAGCAAAGGCGCCCCCTTCTGCTTGTTCAGGACGTTCACGGACACACGCACGCCCTCTGTCTGCAGACGACATGGAAATGCCTCTCAAGCCTCTGCCACCAGGGACACGTGGCTCCAGAGACTATGAGCCCTGCCCTCCATCATGCCCGCCACTTTGGTCTTTCTCCATCTCAGTCGGGCCAGGGGGTCATCTCTGCCCCTTCTTCTGCCAGAACAACCCCAGACTCCGGGAAGTGCCTTTAGATATGAAAAAGGAAGAAAGGACTCTAAGCAGAAAGAGATCAAACTTCAGAGAATCAGGCACTGGGGGCACATCCTGGCCTGCCATAGAAACCAAAACCACTGCCTGTTCTGAAAAAAAAAATCAGATTCCCCATTCTCAAGAAAGCAAGAGACCCAGGCACAAGACCACACAGCCAGGTTGCAAGAATTCTCCCAATCTCAGCTGTCTGGGGTCTAGACTTCCCACACTAGCTGTGTCTGTTTCAACTCAGGGACTCACAGCTGGGGAAGAAACCAGGAAAGACCTGTGCTGAGCACAGCTCCTGGCCGGCAGACATGTGCTGGGCAGCAGGACCCAAGCAACTGCAGGGTCTCGCCCTCTGCCAGGAAACAGGGAGTCTCCAGGATACCCCATTTCTATCCATGTGCATAGGATGCACAGGCCTGCACACACACACGTGTACACACCCCCAAACACACATGAAGACACAGGAGAGCAAGAAGTGCTCCTCAACCTTCCTTGTGAGCCAGGAAGCCAGCAGGAAGCTCTAGTTAACAACTAACCTGGGGCCAGAGCCCAGAGGAGGGGTAGGTATTGAAGGCCATGTTGTATCCTTAGCTCCCACCAAGGGACAGGGCTGTGGAGAAATCACTTTACTTCTCTAAGCCTCAACTTCTCCCTCTATAAGATGACAGCCAGGTGCGGTGGCTCACGCCTGTAGCACTTTGGGAGGCCCAGGCAGGAGGATCACCTGAGGTCAGGAGTTCGAGACCAGCTTAGCCAACATGGTGAAGCCCCATCTCTATTAAAAATATAAAAATTAGCTGGGTGTGGTGGCAGGCACCTGTAATCTCAACTACATGGGAGGCTGAGGCAGGAGAATCACTTGAACCCAGAAGGTGGAGGTTGCAGTGAGCTGAGATCACACCACTGCACTTCAGCCTGGGCAACAGAGTGTGAGACTGGTCTCAAAAATAAAAATAAAAACAAAAAAGATAAAGTGATCTTCACCCTTGGAGCTATGAAGGAGCATATATAAACAACGGGAGCTTAAAGGAAAAATAAAACTAAATCCATCTTTGAATGCTTGTTATTGGGCTGCTGAAACCCAAGCCCTAGGGCAGCATTTCCCAAGAGAGTAAAAACCACTGCTCTTCAGTGCCTTTAGATATGGGAAAAAAGGAAGAAAGGACTCTAAGCAGAAAGAGATCAAACTTCAGAGAATCAGGTGCTGGGGGCACATCCTGGCCTGCCATAGAAATCAAACCACTCCCTGTTCTGAAAAAAAAAATCAGTTTCCCCATTCTCAAGAGAGCAACAGACCCGGGCACAAGACCACACAGCCAGGTTGCAAGAATTCTCCCAATCTCAGCTGGGGTCTAGACTTCCCACACTAGCTGTGTCTATTTCAACTCAGGGACTCACAGCTGGAGAAGAAACCCAAGAGAAGTCAGGGTGAAGTGGATTTTTCACAGTGGACAAATTCCCCTTCTCTTCCCACCCAACTTACAGTTGGCCTTATAAAAGCTCTGTCACCCTCAATTTACAAGGCCAGCTGGCTCTCCCAGGCAGGAAGAGGGCTGGGAAGCCCTGCATTCATCTCCCTGGGGAGTTTCAGATGTAATTTGCCTGCACAGAGCTTTTCAGTTCTGGGCGTCTCATTCCCTTGAGGTTTTCTGGGTAAGCCCAGTAATAAGCCTGTTTCCTCTCCCACCGAGACCCCACAGAGCTGTCAGATTCTGGGGTTTAGGGTAGAGAGCAAACCATGTGTGCTCAGACCACAACTGATGGAAGAATGGGGGTGGAAGAGAAGATGGGAATGAGCCAACTTCAAAAACTGCCCAGCTGGCGCTTCAGAGAAACACTGGTGGCAAAGGAAGGAGGACTGGTCAAGAGGCTCCAGTGTGGTTCTGGGAACTGGGAACCCAGCAGGGCGGCTCGTTCATGGGGCCTCCCAAAAGAGTAGCGGGGCGACACAATCTCCCAGCCCTCGTCGGCTCCCCCACTCGCCTCTGACCTCCCAGCCCCCAGCCCTCACCCGGTTGCGGGTCACAGTATGGTTGAAGGTGTAGATGTTGACCAGCTCGCTGTTGACCTCGTCCACGTAGGTGCGCTCAAACTCGGCGTCTTTCTGCGAGACGTTCTTGGGCCCCAGAACCCCCAGATAGCTCTCGACCGAGGCCACCAAGAACACCAAGAAGGGCAAGCCCAGAGCGAACATGGCCCCGGCAGGGCGGCAGTGGCAGCGGTGGTGGAGGCGGCGAAGGCGACAGGCGACAGGACACCTCCGGGACGGGTTGCGGCTGCGGCCGCAGCTTCCAGCATCTCACCAGGACCAGAACTTTAACCCTGGCCTGAGATTAGGAAATGTCCCCTCCCAAGAGCCGCGGAGAGGCTCCCAGGGTCCCCGCAGGGGAGGGGGCGGCCGGGAGGGGGCGGGGAGGGAGGGGATGCGGGCTATGGGCAGGGGTCCCAGCTCGCGAGGGGCTGAGTACGGCCTGAGACCCTGGAGCCCCGGGCCAGGGCGGCGGTGAGGAGGAGGGCGGCTGGTTGCCGGGAGCCCGGAGACGCCGGGAAAGGGGAGGGAGGAAGAGCAGGCGGCGGGGGCTGGCCGCTGAGGGAGGCGAGTCGCGGGGTGAGGGGCGCGATAGGTGGTAGCGACCCGACGCCGTGCTGGGCTGCGAGTTTTCCGAGGTGCGGGCCCTTTAAGGGCGGGCGGACGCGCCGCCCCGACGCACAAACACTGGAAAGTGAGCTGCGCCGCTGGGCGATAAACAGCAGGGCTGCTGGCCCGCCCGCTGACGTCAGGGGAAACTGACACAGATTTAAAGGACCAGGTCCCGCATTTGTCCTTAAAGGGGCTGCAGCTGTCTAGCTGGAGGGGAAAGCCTGCAATGCCTTCTACAACTCCTACCCAGCTCTCTCCCGTTATTCTCACCATCTCTGAAACTCATGTTGGAATAGGCAGATGTTTCTGTTAAGGATCTCCAAGTGTTGGGTTCTTGTTGAACAACTCCTACCTTTGCTCAAACATAAGGATTCCCCCCTCCCCGCGCCGCACCACCTTTACAACTAACATCGTCCATCCCTGGGCCATTGTTTCTCCAGGGATCTTAAAAAATGAACTCAAAGGATTAGGAAACAGGACGGTGGCCCTACCGGCGGAGGGGAAACGGAGGCAGCACTGCAAGAGGAATCCCCATGCCTCTCCCACCTCCCTCTGGAGGGGCCACACAGCTGCAGGGACGGCCGTCCGAGCTTCCCAAGCTTGCTGGGCTGGGGCTGTTTCCCCTCTTCTCTCAGGGGCAGTTACAAAGCTCATTGAAAGATACTGACCTTCAGTGTAAAATGGTGACAACTTTTCTACAAAATATTTTGGCACTGTTTCAAGAAACTTAGAGAGCTTTATACCCTTTGATCCAGTAATTCCACTTCTGGACTCTATCCTAAGGAAATAGGAAGCACAGATAAAAATACGTGGGCAGCTACGCTTATCACTGTGATATTTATAATATAAAGCAAAAAGGAAACAACTTGGAATCCATAACGAGGGATTGGTTAAATGCACTATCATGAAGGCATCAAAAATGATGCTTAAGACTTCAAAGGACATGTAAGCAGAGAATTCAGATATGACACTAAATAGTATATAGGGCCAGGTGCCGTGGCTCATGCGTGTAATCCCAACACTTTGGGAGGCCAAGACGAGTAGATCACTTGAGGTCAGGAGTTCGAGACCAGCCATGGTCAACATGGTGAACCCTATCTCTACTATAAAAATACAAAATTAGCGGGGCGTGGTGGCGCGTGCCTGTAATCCCAGCTACTGGGGCGGCTGAGGCAGGAGAATCACTTAACTCTAGGAGGCAGAGGTTGCAGTGAGCTGAGATTGTGCCACTGCACTCCAGCCTTGGCTGCGACAGAGAGACTCCGTCTCAAAAATAAATAAAAGAGTATATATTCCAAATACATATAGACATGCATAGAAAAATAGAAAAAAAATTGTACTAAAAATTTATCAATGTCTCCAGAAAGCAGGGCAAAATTTAAAAATAAAATTTAGCAAGTTACCTTTGAACTACAATTTAAAAAATAACATATTGTATATCATTTTCCTTTAACTCTAAAAATATAGAATAGTACCAAAAAATAAAAACTAATGGATTGTGAGTGGTTCTTAAATTTTTTATATTTAAAAAAATTTACAAGTGTTCTACAATGTACATATATTGCTTTTTTTTGCGGGTGGGGGACAGGGTCTCGCTCTGTCACCCAGGTTGAAGTGCAGTGGCACAATCTCAGCTCCTTGCAACCTCTGCCTCCTGGGTTCAAGCAATTCTCCTGCCTCAGTCTCCCGAGTGGCTCGGATTACACGCATGTGCCACCACACCCAGCTAATTTCTGGTTTTGGTAGAGATGGGGTTTCGCCATATTGGCCAGGCTGCTCTCAAACTCCTGACCTCAGGTGATCCACCCACCTCGGTCTCCCAAAAGTGGTGGGATTGCAGGCATGAGTCACCGTGCCCGGCCACATATATTGCATGTATAAGACAAATTAAAATTTTTTTTTTTTTTTTTTTTTGAGATGGAGTCTCGCTCTGTCGCCCAGGCTGAAGTACAGTGGTGTGATCTCAGCTCACTGCAACCTCCGCCTCCTGAGTTCAAGCGATTCTCCTGCCTCAGCCTCCCACGTAGCTGGGACTACAGGCACCCACCACCACACCCTGCTAATTTTTTGCATTTTTAGTAAAGACGGGGTTTCACCATATTGGTCAGGCTGATCTCAAACTCCTGACCTCAGGTGATCTACCCACCTCGGCTTCCCAAAGTGCTGGGATTACAGGGGTGAGCCACCGTGCCCGGCCAAATTAGACATGTTTAAAGGAAAAGAAATGTGGCCATCTCTGAAGCTGTCAGACATCCTAATAAAGCCACCCAGATCAGTGCCTTGTCAGAGTTCTCTCAGCTGGCAGGATTGCAGCAGTCTCAGCTCCCAGCCCTGCCCAACTATCTGGAGCCTTGTTCCAATGAAGACTATTTTACCTTATGACCAAGTTAGTTATATTTACTCATTCCTGCAGTAAATATTTAATAAGCATCCACTATGCGCCAGGTACTGTTGTAGTTATGCTGGGCAAATGGTGAGTGGGGGAATTAGTTTTGGCCTCTGTCCAAGCACAGCATACTTGAGGATGAAGACCAGAAGCAAGTTGCAGCAATTGGTGAACCCTTTGGAAAAGCAAAGTTGAACCCTTTGGAAGGTTTGAAAGTGAACCCTTTGGAAAGTTCCTTTTGGGAACCCTTTGGAAAAGGGTTCACCAATTGGAAAGTCAGCTGGAAGACAACCTTAGGGGTTTCCTTGGCAAACCCCTCATTATACAAATGAGGAAAGTGACGCTCAGAAAAACTTCAACCCATTAGTACCTCACTAGACCAAGTTTGCACCTTGGTCCACTACCATTTCCAGCACATCTAGGCGAATACGGATCAGAGAATCCTCAGGATGACAAGAGGTTTCTTCATCATGAGCCCTCCATACATTCAGCTGCCAAGTTTGGAGAATCAGTGTAGGATTTCCACAGTCCATCTGGACTTTTCTTTCATAGTAATCCTGCTCATCTTGCCAGTAAATAATCTGAAACATTAAGAAACACTCCTGATACATTGCCCAGGCTGGTCTTGAACTCTTGGCTTCAAGCGACCAGCCTCAGCCTCCTGAGTAGCTGGGATTACAGGTGGGCACCACTACTCCAAGTTGGCCTCGTAACTTTGGGGCAAGATGTGACCCTAGGCCTGTTTTAAATGCACATCTGGAGTCCTACTTCACACTTAATTCATCTTGGGAGGTGAAGCCCAGAAATCTGCAATTTAACGGGGCACTCCAGGAGCTTGCTATGCACAATGAAGTTTGAGAACCACTGCTCTGGAACCAAACAACTGTGGACTATCACTATTTCTGTATGCTCCCTTTCCCCTGGCAATATCTGGAGAGAAATCCATCCAAGCAAACTCTGAAGGGATCCTTCCCTTTTGCAAGGTCTCAAGACTTAACCTTTGAATTGTCAGGACCCTGGGTCTACAGAGTGGGAGGGCAGCAACCGCAGATTTTCTTGCTGTTCCCAGGTCTGCAGAACTTTCCTCAGTCCCTCTGCCCCACCCTGCCAGGGAGGGAACAGCACAACTCACTTATGAATAGGTCCTTTCTGAGGTCTGTCCACTGGGAGAGAATGCCTTTTTGTTGGCTGCAGCAGTCAGCAAAAAAGGGCAATGGTGGGTCTCAAAGTCAGACTTGTGAGCACACAGGGGAGATGTCGGGGCCTCAGGGATGTGATCTTGGTCTTGTGCACAGGTCCAGCTACCGCATTCCCTGGCATAGTATACAAAGAGCTCAATCCTAACCCTGGCCCTCAAGTGGTCAGGGTGGGGCCAAAAGGCTCCGATGACTTCTATTTCCCTGTGGACCACCCTTCCTGAGTGTTGAATGGACCAAAGAAATGGGACCATTCAACATACAGCTGAGGAGGTTGCTGGACCCATGAGTCCAGCTCCATTTTAAGTCACAGGGGATTTATGAAGTTTGGGGTGAGAAGACAGGGAGGAAGCTTCAGGTGGCTCAGGGGTATTGTTAAAATGACCTGAAGATAGCCCGGTGCGGTGGCTTATGCTTGTAATCCCAGCACTTTGGGAGGCCAAGGCGGTTGGATCACCCAAGGTCAGGAGTTCAAGACCAGCCTGGCCAACATGAAGAAACCTCATCTCTACTAAAAATACAAAATTAGCCGGGAATGGTGGTGCATGCCTGTAATCCTAGCTACTTGGGAGGCTGAGGCAGGAGAATCGCTTGAACCCGGGAGGCAGAGGTTGTGGTGAGCTGAGATCGCGCCATTGCACACCTGGGCAACGAGAGCGAAACGCCATTAAAAAAAAAAAAAAAAAGGCCAGGCGCGGTGACTCACGCCTGTAACCCCAGCACTTTGGGAGGCCAAGGCTGGTGGATCACCTGAGGTCAGGAGTTCGAGATCAGCCTGGCTGACATGGCGAAACCCCGGTCTCTGATAAAAACACAAAATTACTTGGGCGTGGTGGCAGGTGCCTGTAATCCCAGCTACACGGGAGGCTGAGGCAGGAGAATCACTTGAACCCGGGAGGCGGAGGTTGCAGTGAGCAGAGACTACAGGCCATTGCACTCCAGCCTGGGCAACAAGAGTGAAACTATCTCAAAAAAAAGAAAAAAAAGAAAGAAAAGACCTGAAGACTGCACTCGGAGCAGGATTTCGTAAGAATCACAGTAAATGGATTAGCTGAATCCAATCAAGTTATTTAGGAACCTGGGAGGTAGGGAGTAGTCATGCCTATTGGTGGGAGACAGAATCAAAACAGATTTTAGAATCAAGTAATGGTATAACTTTAACCCAGAAAAAAAGGATTCCAAACCAACCCCTCTGAAGGAAACGGACCTGAAGCTGTTTTCACCGTGATTATAAAAAGGGCTGTTTTTTCATTTGGTGCTTAGAAAGAATTGTCCCAGACATAAGCAGCTCCAGCAGCAAGAACAGTTCAGCACTTCTTTCCATCATACACGTTCTGTTCTTTCCCAGGGCTGCCCTTGTGTCTGGCTCTCTCTCTTCCTACAAGGACTGCGAAGACTGGATGGCACGTTACAGTGAGAAATCAGTTAAAGACACAGGATTTAATCTGCCGTACTGAGGAAAGTCTCAAACCTGTCACATGGCTTCACGGTACTATGGAAAAAGCAAGGACTTTGATGTCAAAAAGTTCTACAGTTGCTGGGAGCCGCGGTGGTTGTCCTGACGTGTAAGGAGGCGAGGCTACAAAATTGAGG